TATATGGCCTTGGTTTTCTCCTTATGGCTCCTTTGGTAGACCAAGTCAGACTTTACATCTGTGTTTCATCATTATCTTGAATATGCTGCCTATATTTAAATAAGTGCTTGACATTTCTAACTTCTTCTCTTACTTTATTTTTTCTGTAATTCAAAATTCATGGCATTGTGTACAGAAAATCAACATTAAGGACAAACTTTTATGTTAAACTTTCCAACTATGTAAAAGCACTTAAATACCCTTACAACTCACGAAGGCCCGTTCAGGCCCGTCACTTTCGTGAGATGGAACCTGACCTAGGGCTGGCCCAACCCAAAAAATTTATCACCGAACCAGCCCATACACAACCTTAGCCAAACCACACACTGTCTAATTAATATTAGTCACCTAATTATTGTTTGGGCTAGAACTGAGCCTATGTCTACCCAACCCAAACGACGTAGACCCAAAACTATGTCTAGGGATAATTTCAACAGACCTATTCCTTCAACCCAAGTACTGTTTCGCTAAGGTACCCATCCCTCTCCTCCCTACTCCTTCCATGGAAGGCCCATCTTCCATCTACCATGTTTTCTATGCAAGGTTGTGTTCAATTCGGTGGAGTGTTCAGTGATGGGAAAAGAAGTTGTTTGAATCAGATTCAGACCAGTGATTAAGAATCGTAGCAAGTGCGATCCAGTGCAAGTATTTCCAACCGTTATAGCAGAAGTAACAACTCTCAGATCATAGCGAACGGAGACGAGCATTGCTGATCGGAAAAGAAAGACGAACTTAGGAGAAGAAGGAGGAGGGGCAACTGAAAAAAAGGTCGGGGTCAATCAGATCTGCGATGGCGGGGATTGGGAATTCGGATGATGGTATGGTATGATGATGGATCTGAATATGGAGGTGTTGCAGGAATCGGGTTGGGAGGAATTGAGGAAAGAGGCTCGCAAGGTCGAAGGCGATCTCGACGTCAAGCTCTCTTCCTATGCCAAGCTCGGCACTAGGTTCACCCAAGGTGGTTTGGTTCTCACTCAGTCTGTGTGTGTGTGTGTGTGTGTGTGTAATCATTTGATCTTGGTATTAATCAAAATTACGGATCTTATTGTTGAAATTGCCATTCCTTTATGACTTGTGATTATCAGGATGATTTGAGGATTCATTTGTTTTTTGCTTTCATTAATCAAAATCAGCTATATAATGGGTCCCTGCTAATTGAGATTGTAAGTTAATAGAGTTTTGTTGAAGAAAGCTATAGGCAAACCCTGTATAATGAATTGAAGATCAATCAGAGCGAACCCATAATTTTCGCACTTGCACAGGACATTATGGATTTATGGTTATTAGGTTATATGACCAAGTGCTTGGTTAGAGAAGATGCACTACAGCCAAAATTTTGAGCTTTTGATCCATTCTACTGAGGGAGCTGTTTTGATGTGAAAAAGAAATTTTGCGGTAGAGTCAGGTTATTTTATTGTCATAACAACAGTCATGCATTAAATTGTTTTCCCTTTTTTATTGAGAAGGAGATATATTCAAGTTATGGTAGCAATACTGTGTCGTGTTACTGCATCAGGTACTATTACACTTTTGTGGCAGCTTATTACGGTAGCAATACGATATTACGTCATTTTTTCATCTTTTTATTGTTTTAAGTTTTTGATCTTATTTAGGTTTCTTCTTTTTGTTGTTGATCTATTTGTTTGAGGACTCCTTGTCCTCTCATATACTATTTTCTCTTCTTAATTAATAATATTCTATCAGAAAAATAAAATTATTTATATAGTTATAATATAGTGGTGAAAGAGTTTAGTTGCTTTTGTCTTTTTAGGCTTGTGTGTGTTAGGTTCTAATTAGAAGTTGACATTGACTTGATTTGAGGGCTAGTTTTTAATGTTACCTGTTAGTTTGAGGTTAATGCCTTTGGAAGGGTTTGCAATAATCTCCTTTGGAATTAGTGAATATAAACATGAATAACAACTCTAATCTCTTGTCTGGAGACTGTATTTCCATGTTTCTTTTTCCTCTTCTCTCTTTTCATATTTTCCTTTCATTTTCTCTCTGTTCTATTCTCCTAGGTGCTTTACAGAAAAGACTACTTTCTGGTGTTTTACTTTAAACTACATTTATGCAGTTAATGATGTCTCTAAACCCTCATTCCCTTCTTTGTTGCTTCAATTCACAACCATTTTCAATTTTTAATGCACTGGACCAGCACCCCAATCCTTCCTCAACCTGCTTGAGTTTTGAAACATCCTGCAAAACTTGCACATACGGCATGCCACACTCTGTTCTCTCAACCATTTGCACTAGAGCTCGAGTCTTGACTACAGTACACTGTAGGCATTTTTGTATTTCATTCATGTTTTAACTTTTGTCCCCCATGCAGGCATGGATATCCAGTGTTTTGTAGGCTGCAACAGTAACATTTTGTAAATGTGCCACTCCTCCGCCTACTCTACTTCCCAAGTATAAAGGAAGGAATAGAAAAGAAAAAGAAACACATGATTGAAGAGCAAAGACGATTAGATTCATCCTTTGATAGTTAATTTGTGGTATATGCTTTTTAGATACTGCTGAGCTATTACAACCACAGTAATCAGTTAGTAAGAAAATGTTGCAAGTTATTGATCATAATTGTTGTTTCACTGTTCCCATGTTGAGTAATTTGGCTTTGGGTGAATACTTTCTGATAATTAAATGGCTGGGTTCAGGTTATGGGGATACTCGTTCACCAACTGTGGCGTCTAGTAGGTCATGGAAGTCTGTGGAAATGGAGATTCAATCATTGCTTGAGAAGCTACTAGACATAAATGATGCCATGAGTCGATGTGCTGCATCTGCTGCACCTACTACTTCAGTTACCCAAAAGCTGGCAAGGCATAGGGACATACTTCATGAGTTTACCCAGGTTTTTTCCCTTTTTTGTTTTTTTTTTTTATTTCGCTTGTAAAACATTACTCAATATTCACTCAGTTCACGTTGCCTCCCCTCCTCCACTCCCCCGCAACATTTGACCCTCCTAATAAGGGAGTAGGAAATGAAGAAAAAGGATATTCACAGATCCATGATTTCTTTTCTTCTATAATTTATACACTGAATTAATATAAATCACATAACAGTGCACACTTAGATCAAACATCTTAGCTGTTTACTAAAATTATTCCTTTCCAATTTCCTTTTTCTTGAGCAGTTTAGAGCTGTACAGAGTTTCCAACCATTTGTTTATAGAACTTGTCATGTTTTCTGAACATATATCGCTTACTAGATTTTTCAGAATAGGGGAGTAACGTAGTGTTTAGAGCAACTTGTTTCAGTGAAAGTATATCTCAGGGATAGAATTTGCAGGATGAACCTTCAAGGAACACTTGATGTTTAGTGAGCGTACATTTAATAGTACTTTGAATCAAAAAGTGCATCTCTCTCTCTCTCTCTCATGCAGTCATCCAGTCATATACTCTGTATTACCACAGTGGGTGACTTGTTCTAGTTCTTTCAACATTGTGATTGAATAGTTTGACACGAAGGGCATGATTTCTAGGATTCCCACTGTGCTTGTAGGCTCTGTGCATCATCTTTTTTGAGCTAACCTGATTCATTCCTCCAGGAATTTAGACGAACCAAGGGGAACATAAACTCAATGAGGGAACATGCAGAGCTTCTCACTTCTGTAAGAGATGATATCAGTGAGTATAAGGTGAGTAAGACTCGTGTCAGTGTATATATATCTATATATATATTCATTTGAATCTTTCTTATTTTTTAATGCTATTCTATGCATTTATGCAGGCCTCCGGAAGTATGTCTCCAAGAATGCAGTTACTTCGGGAGAGAGCTGCCATACATGGAAGCATAGCTCATGTAAAACTGAACTTGCTTTTTGATAGCATATCTCTGTTCCATATTCTTTTGCAAAATATATACCCCAATGTCTTTTAATCATTTTTTTTATCATTCATTATGGCTTAGTTAAAAAAGCAGTCAACTAATGATGCTTGTACAGTTGCTGCGGGGTGGCAACTGACCCGATAACCATGTTTCTAAATTGCATGATCACTGACATAATGCTAACAATATATGCAGATAGATGATGTGATTAGTCAAGCTCAAACAACAAGAGCAGCCTTGGGCTCCCAAAGGTCCTTGTTTGGTGATGTTCAAGGAAAAGTGAAGCTATTAAGTGACAAATTTCCTATTATTCGTGGTCTAATTGGTATTATTCTGAAGCCATTTCTGCTACTGCATTTCGTTCTTTTAACTCACTTCCCAGTCGGTCAGTCTAAGGAAAAAAATAAACTTGCTTCCCAGTAACACTGTTTAATCAACTCACAGGTTCGATCCGAAGGAAGCGCTCAAGAGATACACTTATCCTATCTGCAGTCATCGCGGCGTGTACATTGTTTCTTATTATCTATTGGCTTTCGAAGTAAACAGATTTGATTTCTTGGCTTGACAAAACGGAAAGATTATGCTGTCTAAGGACTTTCGCTTCTGCAATTTGTTTGAATGATCAAGTTCGCATTTTTTAAAGTGCGTGGTACCCTTTTGCGGTGCCTGTGCCCAGTATTCTTTCAGTTCAAGCACTTGCACTGTTGGAGCTAATGCGATATTTTGCCAATGCCAGAGTTTTGCACATAGAGAGAGGGAGAGAGGGGCCCAAATTCGTTGAAAGGAATCTCGCCTGTATTTTATGCTTCTATCTTGGAAGTGTAACAATTCCATTAGCCACTCTTGGAAGTAACTGTTTTGAGGGTCAATCAAAGAAAATTGGGAAATTTGGAGGTCGGCCCTTTTACATGTACTCGTTTGGACTCAAGTTTGTGAAAGAATTTTATTTGTTATGAAATCTATTTTTTGTCAATTTTATCAGACTATCTATTCTCTTTAGAAGTGAAGTAAAAGTAAAAATTAAAAACTCTTATATATATATATATAATTAAAAATAAAAAATAATAACATTTAAACACAAAAAAAAAAATTATCATTTAAACACAAGAAATAATATCATTCAAACACAAAAAAAAAAATAGTAACATGTTTATTCAATATTTAATATTTAAAAATAATAATAATAGTAACATGTTCATTTAATATTAATATTTAAAAAAAATAATAATAGTAACATGTTTAACAAAAATAGTAATATGCTCATCAAAAAAAAAAATAGCAATATGAAACATTGAAACAAAATTGAAAATAAAAATAATAGCATTCAAGCCCATAATTAGAGGAAGAAGCCTCCAAGTTTTCAAAATTTTCATTATTTTTTATATTCTTAGTTTCAAAATGCTTTTCATTATTACTAAATTAAATGATATAAGTTTCAATTTTTGTGGATCTTTTGTTGTGCAATACAATTGGAAAATGCTTGATTTTGTTACTTGTGGAAAAATGTTGATGTTACTA